AATTATTTTTGATATGATTGAGTTCAAACATAAGTTTCCTGGTTTTTTAATGCATCTATCTATTATTATCCAACTGTAAATCAATCGACATGGTATAAAATTATAAATTAGATAATTTTTAATTTTTTGCATTAGTGTGGCGGCTGTCTTAAACGTGTCTTTTCCAAGTAGATAATTTTTTTTCTTCATGCTTCTGGATTAAGGACTCTGATTTTATTGACATTTAGTATAGACGCAGTGCCAATGCGTGCGGGTAAGAGGCATCCTACCCTTAAACGTCTTGTCTCTAACTCAACAATATCTCAGGGTGACGGGCGAGGTGGCAGCGCCCCTCAGATCTTTGCGATTTAAAGTTCTAAGTGGCACTGCAACTATTATGAACAGGCGTGTAGCTTACCATCAAACGTACGACTTGTTCGTCCCGTCACTAGATAAAAAAAACGTAAATTTACTTGCATACTTGTGTATTGAATGTTTTATCAGTAGCAAAACTAGTGCACTTAGGAAGTACTATCTAGTAGTAAGCATTTTTTATTACGTTATGTAACTTAATAAATGTGTTAGACTCATTGACTTACAAAAAAGTCAATGGTTAGACTATTTAGATTGATAATCCAAAATCTTCTAAACAAAACAGCGATTAATTCTAAAATTTCGCGATTAGACCCGACTAATCAACGACTTTCTCTGGGTGCAATCAAATCTAAGCCAGAGGCTGGGGTTCTCGAGATTCAAAATGATGCCGCCGGAATAAGCTTATTCCAGCTTGGACAGTAAAACACCCTTATAACTGCGGATTGACTAAATCTCGTTATTTGCATCTAGAACCGATTAAATGGCGATTTTTTATCTGGATAGTTTGAAAAATTCGAATTTTTGCTGAAATTTGTGCCTTATGCCACGCCATAAACTGTCCCTTTTTTATACTGCAAAATAAAACGTACCTAATTAAAGAACGTAAGGTACAAAGAACATACATTTTTGCCTTGATACGGTATTATATAGGAACTTTTTTTTGTGGTCAATACAAATATTAACGTTTAGAAGTCAATCGATAAATGTTAACAGTATTAGTGCGCTTGATGCTGAAATACGCAGATGATACTCCATATAAAACATACATTTAATATAATCGCAGTGCCCAAGCGGTCTGACATGTGGGGTCCAACTCTTTTAGAGTTTATAAGTATTTGTTTAGTCTTCTTTACATACAGGTGTAATGCGGCGACAAGCCTAATAGCTATAAATGAGTTGGTAGGTAGGTATATTACTAAAAAGGATTTTGCCTTTCCGCACTTCGTCGGCAAAAGGAAGGAGAGGGCAAATAAAAATACTTTCTATCAAATTGCCGTAATCTATTCTGAGCGGACACCACGCAATTTCGAAATTAAGGTCCGCAGCGTGCTTATGCAGATTTCCTTATTTTTCATATAAATGTTTGTTTTCTTTCCCTTTAACGTTAGGTAGGTCAAGTTGGCTCGTTATTCCGTGCGTTTACAGGCTAAAAAACAATTTTTATGGCGAGACTAGCGTTACTGAAATTGACTGCAAATGTTTTGTTAAATTAGATAGGACTTCCTCACAGAAGGCAGTTCTGTTTAATGGATAGATTCACTCCTTAAAAATTTGTAGAAACTTACAACCTGTACGTAACTAGGTATAGGAAATAAATGATGATTATTATTATTTTTTGTTTTTAATTACTCAACTTTTTAGCCCACTGTAACTACGTACATTTACGGACCGAAAGCAAGTAAATGTAGTGTGTGTTGTGATGAGAACCTATTTTTTTTTACGCGGTGAAATCCATCACGGATACCTTCCGCCTGGGAAAAGTTTATGTGAGACTCCTACTCAATTAAAACCCCGCGGCACCCATCTCTGCACCACGTGGTGGGTCTTTTTTTTATAATATCAAGTATCACGGCGACGGGACGAACAAGTCGTGTGCTTGATGGTAACTGCTGCTACTTACTACTACGTGCCTGTCCATAACAGTTGCAATGTCCTCAGAGCTTTAAATCGCAAGGATCTGAGGGACACTGCCACTGTACCCGTCACCCTGACATATAAATTGGCAAGTCCCATGTGCCTGTGATTTCACCAGTACTCTTACTCTTCAAAACCTGAACACAGTAATGCTCACATTACTGCTTGGCGCCAGAAACAGGTCAGGTGGCAGGTAAGGTGGTACTTACTTCCCTGAACGAACTCTTTTACAAGGAGTTGTGCTGCTACTAAAACAACTGTCTTGGGGGCGCCGAAGCATTCTTCTAAGATCCAGCGGTGCCTACACGTTTCCGGGCTCACCTCGCTAGGAAGGAAGGAGTTGTTCCTACCTTCGTAGCCTACTGAGAGGAGCTCGCGGGTGCATGCGACACCATCTCAAACAACATGCAGACGACAAACGTGCATCCTCACGTTCGTAGTCGTGGCTCCGTATGGGGGAAGGTGGCGATCGAAGTAAAAAAATAAAAATAAAATTAAGGTGAGGACCGATTTCCAGGATTTCTCGCTGTCGACCGCGCGGACCAATGTCGGCAGAGAGAGATCCTTTCCACAACTGCAACAAGCGACGCTCCTCCGCCCAGACCTATTTAATCTTCTTTTATGTATTATTATTTATTCGGATGTAGGTATATTTGTCGCAGGACATTGCGACTGGCATCTCAGTAGAGGATTAGCTCGATATCCTCCGGTCCCTCCAGCCACTTAGATTATTGGGAGCTGGAGAGACGACATTATTCGGCGTTGCGAAGTGAGCGTGCCTTACACCTCCGCCACCAATGAGGAGATTTGGTAGTGGACTTTAGAGTAGACGGTTTAGCGGTGGCAACCGCTAATTGTGCAACGCGAAACGGGAACTGAGCGTGCCTACAGCTCCGGTACCTATCTGGAAAATAGGGAGGGCACTGTACGTGCACCCGGGGCGGCTCACCCGAGGCACTAGCTTCTCGAGAACCGGATGAAGTCAAGTGACAGAGGTCTGTGACAACCCTGTACAGTGGCTGATCTGGGACCAGAACCTGAACTTATATGGTTCCTATGCGCGCACAGGTCATAGTGCCATTCTCGTATACTGTAAGGGTCGGTAGGGAGGGTCACTATAATCAAAACTAATGTAGAAAGATGTGCGGCTGTCCCATAACGTAGACAATACATTTATTAATTTATTATTATTCTGCCGTCCTTACCACAAACAACGTATTCGTATTGGACATTTTAAGCGAAATTGAATCATTAACATATCTGGAATCAATGCAATGAGATCTACAACTCCCTCCAATCGTTTCGTAATCGTTTTCTTATATCAATTTTAGTTTCACTTTTATTGTTAAGCAAAATCAGCGTTCGATCGAGCTACGGGCGATCGAAGAAAAAAAAAACTTAACTCAGAAGTTACCAAAACGTAAATACGTTGTTTATGACAGTATTGTCGAATATTTTGTTTAAAATAATAAAATATTTATCGATATCGATTACAATAAAAACATGAAACGAGATTATGTACTTTTAATTTGGCAGTGGTCATTATTAGTAACAATAAGCCTAAATTAACCTTAATAAACATTGGTTACATGAAGAAGATGCGGATGCGTAGAAAATTATAACAATGATATAATTTTTTGCTAAACGCAAATAAGGTACGGTTAAAAAGTAGCTAGCGGATATCGACCCGGGAAGAAATTGCGCCCCTATGTGGTTTTAGGAGCCTTTGTGATTCCAGAACTTTACCTACTAGTTACTACAGACGTGGTTAAAGGAATGAATCTGAGGGGGTCCCACTGACCCACTTGGGATTACAAGTGTTCATATTTTTTGTTTCAGTCTTTTTGTTAGGCAGTAAGACTTATGTCCAACAGTCTTTACTTTATATAAAAAAAAGAATTTTTGGTACAATAATAAGAATATATATTATACATTTACGGTAAGTGCTCTCGCAATGTACAGTATCAAAGTAGTACATTGAGTCTTATGAATCGTATGTATACACATATATTTTTAACGCGCAACTTAAACTTATTGATTATTTTTCATTTATTTTTTATTTTGCCTTAATAAAAAAATATTTTCTTTTTATGTATAAAGATCATACATGAATTGTAGGGTTGTTTAAGGATTTAATAAGAAAGATCTGGTTAGCTGATTTCGCGAGTGAAATCGGTTAGCTAGATATTTAATCAGTCAGCCTATAAAAAATCCTTAGTACTGCTCTGTAGCGCGTTGCGTGAACAGCTTATTATTACCCTTAAAATGTATTTGACTTCTGGCCTGTGTTATTACGACAAAGTCGTAATTGAGGACTTAATACACATAGCTATCTATTTTACTATATATGACTTACTCTAATGCATGCCACTTGCTATAATCTGTCGACTTCTAAGGTCCAGTGTTCGATTCTTGGCAGGACTAATTAATAGGGAAGTGATTTTTTCCTAATTTGTTCTGATCTGAATGTTTTAGAATCAGGAAATTTGCTAGTTTTAGACGCAACTATAACAAATATAATTAGCAAAATAGTCTGTATAAACAGTTTATCTGGAATATTATATAGAGCTTATTACAAAAATGCGCTTTGAATATGACTTTATAGTGTAGCGTGATATGCTGACCGAGAAAAGCAGGGGCTGTCTATTTATACCGCCGCTGTATCGATAGTAAGTCTGCGCCTCGCCTTAACACGCTGAACCGTCCGGCTGTGTCAAAAGGCGATTAATAGGTCGTCTGCCCTCGTCTAGGGTGCACCGTAGTGGTCTGGTCGGCGGAAGCGGCTCGCACCGAATAATCGCATCGATCGCCAAAAAACTAACCCACATACGCACTGGCAGCGTAGCCGGAATTATTAATCGTGAGGAGTACGGGGCGGCGCGGCGGCGGGCGCGGGCGCGTTTCAGGGCGCAGGCGCGGGCGCGCGGCGAGCACTTCGCGAGGAAGGCTCGCGCGCTTCGGCCGCGTCCGTTCGCCCGCGGCGCCGCGATGCGCGAGCAGCGGGCCCCGCGGCCGCACCGGCAAGCGCCGCGCTAACCTGTACCCATGCAGTGGCGAAAACTGACCAGGTTGAAGTCTTCGCCGGGCGGACAGTCGCGCGCTCGGAGGATGCTCTGCTGCGGCCGCAGGAAGGTATGTGATCCGATCGATAGCGCGCGCCGAAACCGTCGCCCCTCCCGGCCCGGACGCCGTTGCCGTTCGACGACCCCACTCGCTAATGCCTCTAACTCGTGGACCTATACACTTCCTATACTTTCTTACGCCGAGTTCTTACGGTTCGCGGTCGCCGAAGCCGGCACCATGATCAAGCGTTGTTTAGATTTGAACGGTTGGTATACGATTGGTGCTCTTAGCACCAAAGATCGAGTATAAGGCAGTGAGAGAACATGGTTGTAAAAGTTCATTTTTATTTAATTATAAAATACATACAACTACTGACTGCTTTTCTAGATTAAGTACAGTACACATATTATAAAATAAAGATATATGGCATAACCTGCAATGGTAGCTAATGACTATACCGCTCTTGAACAAAAACGTTAACATTGTATATGTGTATTCCGAACTAAGCCTTCAATTAACCGGCAAAGCACGTGAAGTGGGACGTTGAATCGATCTCTATTCAAATCTATCAGCTATTGTCAGCTAGACCCTGACATACAATTGTAGAGCACGATTTCAACCCAATTTTCGCCCTGTCCGCAGGCGGAAAGTCTCCAATTTTATTTCCATTTTCATTGTCTAATAATTTAAGTTCAATTAACTATAGTTTAAGTTATGACTAAGATGGTTTTAATTTCAAAGTGATTTTATAATCGTTTGAAATTCGGTCGCGGCTGTTCGCCATCTTGAAAGTCTCTAACGAAGTGCCCCAAAGAAGACGTTACATTTAAATGTGGACGCTTCGTTTAGATAGGAAAGTTCTCGTATAGATTATAGTTACGCGTTAGAGTATAGGGCAAAGAGAGGTGAGTTTAGTAGCAGTAGAGCTCCTTGTGAAAGAGTTCGTCTAGGGAAGTACTGTCACCTTACCTATTTCTGCCGCCAAGCAGTAATGTCAGCATTACTGTATTCCGGTTTCGAAGGGCGCTGGTGAAATTACTGGCACATGAGACTTCTCAACTTATGTCTCAGGGTGACGGGCATAGTGGCAGTACACAGAGTGGCACTGCAACTGTTATGGACAGGCGTGTACCTTACTATCAGGCGCACGACTTGTTCGTCCCGTCACTTGATATTATAAAAAAAAGGTGTAGTATACAATATTTTTAACTAGTTTTCTTAGTAACAGGATTCAAAAATATCATAGACCAAAAATGAGAGAAGTGATGGTCACACTTTAAAATATCGGTACATTAATCTATTGTCTGTTACCAACAATAAGGGACTGGCTACCCTTTCGACTACCTGAATGTAAGTAAATTCAAGGTCCTATATAAGTTTCGTGCCCTTAGTACAACTATTATAACAGACTGGTTGAAAACCATTTCCTTTTCATGATCTTTAATTGATTTGCTTTTCAGATCTTATAATTAAATATGTCAGTAAATCAATTACACATAAGTAGATGTCGCATTACCTACTTTATCATTATTATAAAATTGCTCTTAGAATATTTTCCATTATGCCGCTTTGAACCTAGGTGCAAATTTATAATATCGCCGGTGTGGTAGGTATGCAGAACTTAAAGGCGTTCTGGTTGTTCGTGGGGTGTAGGGTCTAAATCAACCAAATACGGCAGATTCCTGGGTGCGGGTTCCTCGAAAAAAAATAGGTTAATGACTCATCAGTTAGTTAAACCTGCTTTTAGAGGGTAGACAGATGAGTTTAATGTTTTGTAAAAGAAAGCTCGCTTTTCTTCCTCTTATCGTATCGACAGCATACACTGCAATGGTTACCATCATGGTGAAAAGATTTGGCAGTCAGCGTACGGTCCTCGCAGATTGTTGTCCAGGATGCGCCAGACGTACAAGAAAGACGTGATACCTAGCTGGAGGAGGCTCCTTTCATGCACCGCATGGTTATATATTTATGTAGTAGTGTATTCAGCTCGTTATTGACTCAACAATGACCTAGATGACAGAATTCACTTCCGCAACACCGGTAAGTGTAGGGTCTTATACATGTATACCTTTAATGCATTTGAAGTAGTACATTCGCGTAGTGGAGAACTTATAATTAAGGAAACGCTCTCTCTCAAACGATTTACATATTTTGAAATGTTTGTTCATGGAGTTCATTTTCCTTCTTTCCATTAAAATTACACCAATACTGTACAATAACATTATTTTGCAGTAGTCGTCATATTGAGCGACTAAATAAATAATAATAATAGAGAATATGTAGCAATAACACCTTCTTATTACGATTAAGGGAACAAACAGGTACCAAATGTATTTTCAGTTGTTCAAACGTTGGTAGGAAGAAATTTCTTTATAAAAGAAATTAGCCATAGCTAACGCACCACGTGTTCTACACACTATGTCTCTAACGATTTTGGTAAACAAATTATAATTAATTCTATAAATTTATAGTGAAAACACAGCGTTAAAGATATTGTAGGACTCTAGGACCCTACAGTACCAATATGGTTAGCGATACCGTGTGTCTCTAAGACACGTGATAGGATAAAGTTCTTTTCTGGTAAATATAAAGCGACGGTATAGCGATTGCATTCGTACTAATATTTAATTATAGGTATCGTAGTAAGCGGCGACGAAGCCGCCTCTCTCTAGATCTTCTTCAAATCGAAATCGATACCATTTTATATCGAGATATATCTTTATTTTCTTCTCTTTTATCAACATGAGGTCGCACATCGTTAACCAAATGCTTATCAAATTTTGCACCACTCATCTTTACTGTCATTTTTTCTTATCCGTAGTAGAATAATGTCTGTCTCCTTGATTTTATTACGCCTTTTGACTGTTTGTTTGCTACCAGTTCGTCCTTTGTCATCATAGCAAGGCGCATTTACTTCTCTCGTCTGTTCAGCGGCAAGGGTGCCCGGTCTACTAAAATTACAGCTTAGTAATCCGATACATGGACTACCTTTCCTGTACATTAAGCTACAGATTATCTGCCATAGCCTGTTGGCCAAGCTTGTTGACTATAATCAAAGCGTCATTTGTGAGCTTTGCTACAGCATTCAGTATCCAGATTTAGAATTAGTGTAAAATCGTCTTGTAGAAGTTATTACAATTTAACCAAGCTGTTCTCTATGTATGATGTCATAAACTTGGGAATATGTTCAGAGCTTGAGTCAACGATGTAAGTAACTTATCATGCGCCTGTCTCCCAGAGTCGTAACCCAATTTCCATATGTTATGATCATGCCGTAGTTCTTTTCCTTTTTACACTAGTATCATATAGTACCCATTCACTCATAAGCGCTCGTCGTTTTTTCTATGTCGGTTTGTCTTTCACTTTTTAAATTTAAATATTTTGTGATTTTCGTAACTAAATAAACATCGCTTTTTTTTTTTAATTTAACCAGTTATTGTGTCCCGCTACCAGGCAGTGACCTCTCCTTTCGAAATTTATTAGGCGTAATTTAAGGGCCAGGTCCCTTATATACGCAACCAAGTCAGGCAGTTATCTATTTCTTGGCCAGCCTCCTTGTCGCTGGCCGTGTATGTGATAGACGTGACGATGCGACAATTGCAGCGAAAGCAAGATCTAGAGGTCCATTGCACTCGTTTACTTAAATAGTATTAACTAGAATTGCAAGGTTCTTAACATGGTTTTTTTCACTATTGTACCTTCTATACACTGTATTAGTTCCATTTGTGCCGTATCATCATTATCATTGGCCTATATACTTAAGTGTTCACTGCCAGACAAAGTCATCAAAAAAATTTGTATTTTCTTATTTGGTAGAATAGAATAGAATAGAATAGAATCGTTTATTTCATGTTATCAATGTCACAATATTACAATTGGAAATACAATGTCAAGGGATAACTATGATCGTCAGTAATAAAATTATAATAATAATAATGAATATAAAATAAAGTAGTATAACTACTGCTTGTCGAATAAAATAAAATTAAAATTGTTTCAAAAGAAACTCATCGACACTGTACAATTCAATATCCAATAAAAGGTTTTTTAGTCGGGGTACGTCGCGGTATGCGTTTGTCCCACTGAAACGAATATATAATATTATTTTTATTGTACTCAGCATTTAAGTGTTATTCATACAAATAAAAAAGATTAGCAGGACTTGACCTAGCTATTCCTGTTCGGTTAGTCCTACAATACTCGTACATTTTGTAAGAAAACCACGGGTCTACGTAGACATGTAATTTATCAGCCAAAAGGCATGGGCAATACAATAATCTGCGTCCTACTTGAATAAGTTACAAATTGTAGTTGGCAAGTTGCCTGCTTACTTAGTGCTGTTTGACAAGTATGCTGAGATTTAGGGTAATATGTTTGGAGTTTGGCTTATATTCGAAGAGTTATGAACTAATAAGTTTTCATGTTTGCTCAAATGAAATGAAGGCTGATCTTTCTAACAACTATATTTGTACCAATATTAATTAGTGTTTAGATAAGAGACATATGGACCATGTGCAGTTTTGAAATCGGATTAAAACGCTTACGTAATATTCAAAAGGAGGTACAATTTACTTACTACAAAAAATAATCTCAGAACAGAATGCTAAAAAAAACCAACCTCAAAGTCGTCAATTCCCTAGTTTGTCACTCTTGGAGGTGGAATATTTTCTTCAAATTTAAATGGGACCACTTCTGAGATACCCTTTTTCCAACAAAAAAGAATCATCAAAATCGGTTCACAAATGCGCCGGAGTTTTCGCGTAATATAGGTACACACAAAAAAAAATCCAATCAAATTGAGAACGTCCTCCTTTTCGGTTAAAAGATTATGTATTCTACGTAAAACTAGCTACTGAAAATTTAAAAAGAAGAGAGAAAAAGAACAAAAGTGATAATAACATCAACTACAAATTGCACCCTTTGGTTTAATTAGACCAACTCTGCACAATGACAACTTTTCAGGAAACAGTTTTAAAGATTCTACAAAGGAAATAAGTTGATAACTTTTTTATGCTAAATAGGAGTGTTATAAAATTTTACATACACATAATAATTTTTTTATGATACTA